CAGAAACATCTATGAGAGAGAACCATCGACCAGTGGCCCCCTGCGCACCCCCCACTGGGGATGTGCCCGCAACCAAGGCACATGCCCCTGACCAGAATATCGAACCCGGGACCCTTTAGTCCACTGAGCCAAACAGGTCTCAGCTGAAATTCTCTTTTTTACTAAAGAGCCTCCTCCTAAGAAAACTGCTAAATCTCAATTTTATTTACATTTTAAAATACATTTTTACTGATTTCAGAGAGGAAAGGGGAGGGAGAAAGAGAGTAATGAGAGAGAATCATTGATTATCTGCCTCCTGGCCCTGACTGAACCGGGACCTTGTGATTCATAGGTCAATGCTCAACCATGGAGACAGCGTGGCCAGGCCTAAGGCTTAATTTTAAAAACTGGTAAATAGTCCAGTCTGTTATGGCTCAGTGGTTAAGTGTTGACCTTTGAACCAGGAGGTCAGGGTTCGATTCCTGCTCCGGGCACATGCCCAGGTGGTGAGCTCCATCCCCAGGGTGAGGCCTGTAAGAGGCAGCTGATCAATGATTCTCTCTCAACACTGATGTTTCTACCTCTCCTTTCCTTTCTGAAATCAATAAAAAAAAGTACATATCTTTTTAAATAAATCACAACTGACAAGTAGAGGAATATTTCTTTGCTTTTTACTATAGAATCATTGGCAGGATCACCTTAGGTAAAATTTACACAAGTAGATTCCCTAAGTGTTAATATAAAACTCGAAAGAAATACTAAGAGACAAATAAAACTGTTATTCTCTACAACTTGAACATTAATGAGAAGTGAAAGTAAATGCCACTGAAATTTCAGTGTACAGATGGCAATGTGATTTGACTTACTCTAGATTTTATAAGAGTGCATAAATTTTATAAAGGAAAATGCCTTTATATTTTTCCCAACAGAGTAAATCCAGGTTATATGTTGATGCTGAATGCAGAAACTACTATTAAAATTTGTAAATTATATTGAGTTGTTGTAATATGAAGTTGATTTGTGCCCTTAAAATTTTAAGACCATTTTTTAAACTTTTGGGTTTTTTTAAATACGTTTTTATTGATTTCAGAGAGAGGGAAGGAAGAGCGAGACATGGATGAGAGAACAATCAATTAGCTGTCTCCTTCACGCCCCATACTGGGGCTGGAGCCTACAACCCGGACATGTGCTCTGGTCAGGCTGCATGGAATCATGCTCAGTGGTTCTGAGTGTCAGCCCAGGCACTGAGGGGTGGAGGGTTTGATTCGCAGTCAAGAACATGGACCTGGGTTGCAAGTTTGATCCTGCCCTGGTCAGCCCCAATTGGGGCACATGCCAGATGCAACACAGTAGATGTGTTTCTCATATTTCTTCCTTTTTCCCTCCCTCCCTCCCTCCCTCCCTCCCTCCCTCCCTCCCTCCCTTCCTCCCTCCTTCCCTCCCTCTCTTCCTCCCTTCCTCCCTCCCTTCTTCCTTCCTTCTCTCCTTCCTCCCACTCTCTCTAGCATTCAGGCGGACGCTCTATCCACTGAGTCAAACCATTTAGGGCGTCCTTCCACTCTCTCTAAAAATCAATGGAAAATATATCCTCCGGTGAGGATTAACAAAAACAATTAATTGCACCATAACTGCTAAAGAGAACTCTTTCTCCACTTTCCAGAAAAGTGAATGATGGCATCTTTAAACCTCTATAATTTTTCTTTACCCGCCTCCCCCCACACACCCCCCACCCCCCGCCATCCCAACCTTGATAGCTCTACTCCCCACCTCTGTCAGTGCATACCTGTGACAAGGGTGAGGGGGACACATTGAGTGGGCTTGGCTGCCTGGATCAGAGGACAGAGTTGGCTTTCCAGCTTGTGCTGGTATGCCCGCTTGTCCCAGTTATTCAGGCTGCTTCACTGCTTAATTCATGAAATAAAATCTAGCTGGTCTTTGCTGGCTGTGAAAGTGCAGTTATTTCTAAAACTGTAGAGAAGCAATTTAAATAAGAAAAGGTAGACATTTCCATTCAAGTAGACTGAAAGCCATATGGGGACAAGAATGGATGGGAAAGCCCTAACTGGTTTGGCTCAGTGGATAGAGCATCAGCCTGTGGACTGAAAGGTCCCAGGTTCGATTCCAGTCAAAGGCAAGTGCCTTGGTTGCGGGCACATCCCCTGTGGGGAGTGTGCAAGAGGCAGCTGAATCGATGTTTCTCTCTCATCTATGTTTCTCTCTCATTGATGTTTCCAACTCTCTATCCCTCTCCTTTCCTCTCTCTGTAAAAAATCAATTATATATATATAATGAATGGGGAAAAGACTAGGAAAAGAAACAGGCATCTTGGCAAGAGAAAGGAATGGAATTCCTTGGCAGATAATTAGCAAAAATTAATTTTAAGCCGAAACCGGTTTGGCTCAATGGATAGAGCGTCGGCTTGGGCACTGGAAGGTCCCGGGTTCGATTCCGGTCAAGGGCATGTACATTGGTTGCGGGCACATCCCCAATAGGGGGTGTGCAAGAGGCAGCTGATTGATGACTCTCTCATCGATGTTTCTAACTCTCTAGCTCTCTCCCTTCCTCTCTGTACAAAATCAATAAAACATATTAAAAAATTAATTTTAAAATATAGTTCACTCAGGTGTCTAGCCCGTTACATTGGCTCCTTTTGTTTCTATTCAATATCTCTTAAACTTTCAGAGTAGCCCTAGCAGGCTTGGCTCTGAACAGTGGCTGGGCGTCAGCCCGATGGTTGAAGGTCCTGGGTCTGGTTCTGATCAAGGGCACATAACTTGGTTGCAAGCTTGATCCCCGACCCTGGTCTGAATGCAAGTGGAAGGCAACCAATTGATATGTCTCTGTCACATGAATGTTTCTCTTTCTCTCTGTCTCTTCCCCTCCCTTCCAGTCCCTCTAAAGATCAATGGGAAAATATCCTTGGGTGAGGATTAACCAAACAAAGAAACTTTTAGAGTACTTGTTTTAAATGTTTGTTCATTCTGTACAAAGTTACTGAGCACCTGCGCTGTGTTTAGAAAATATTTTGTCTTAATTTTTAGGTCATTATACAAATAAGGTAGTAGTAATAGAAAACAAGTTAGAGCATTCCATGGCATTTCCAGGGCTTCATCTTTTCCTTCTGTTCTGGCAGAGATAGATATAAAAAGCAGAAGCTAAAAAGTCATAGCCTGGCTCAAGAGCAAGGTGTTATCTGGCTTAGATTAGGCATTCAGTGTATATTTGTTGAATGAGTGAATGAATGAATGAATGAATGAAGTAATCCTCCATAGATCAGAAACAGAGCAGCACCACAATGCAGTCTGGACCCTTGGAGTGGGGCCCAGGTGCCTGATGGGGAGGACACCAGGAGCTGAGACTTAGAAAGATGTGACCTAGGCAGGGAGAGGACACAGAGGCAGTGCACACTCAAGGATGAGCCACCTGCCTCTGACTCCGGGCTCTGTCTGCAGCATTCACACATCACCTTGGAGCAGGAGCCCTGTAGGTGCAGGCCTGGGGAAAGCCGCCTCGCAAGCCTTCCCCAGCTGGAGCGTGAATGCTCTTCAGACTCAGTGAATTTTGTAGATGGCCTGGCAAAGAACTTAAATATATTCAGATGATCGAGAAATAAAGGAATAGCTTCTATTTTAAAAGAACAAAACATAGAAATAAAATATGTAATTAAAACAGATATGTAAAGAACGTATAGAAATTAAAAATTTCAAATAAAATGCAGGCTAGAGATAGGATAACTAGCCTGGATACAGTTTAAAAGAAAATTAGTAAATTGGAATAGAATGAAAAATCCTATCTAATAAAGAGGGAATATGCTAATTGACCACCACACCCTCACAAAGATGGTGGTGCTCACAACCAATAAGGAGGGAATATGCTAATGGACTGCCTCAGCCCCCCAGCCGCCCAGGGCCACCTGAGGCTCAGGTAAAAGGGCCGGCCAAGGCTTGCGCTGCTGCCATGGCAGCAGCAGAGGTGTGATGGGGCTGTTACCTTCCCCTGATCGCCAGGTTGTCTCCCGCCCCTGAGGGTCCCAGACTGTGAAAGGGGGCAGGCTAGGCTGAGGGACCTCCCCTCCAGTGCATGAATTTTTATGACCAAGCCTCTAGTTCATATATAATTGTGTGTGTGTGTGTGTGCGTGTGTATGTATGTGTGTGTGTGTGCGTGTGTGTGTGTGTGTGTATGTATGTGTGTGTGTGTGTGTATATATATATAAAAGCCTAAGCAACTGGCCAGTAGCTATGATGCATAAAGACCACCAGGGGGCAGACACTCAACGCAGGAGCTGCCGAGCAACAGCAACTTTGCAGAGTGCCCTCTCACACACTGGGGCCCCTTGGGGGATGTCAGACTGCCAGTTTGGGCCCAATCCTTGCAGGCCAGACCAAGGCACCCCACCAGTTCAGGAATCCATACACCGGGCCTCTAGTACATTGGAAAGACACAGATCTTAAAAATATATATAAATAAATAAAATAATAGGAGATAGAATATACTCAAATGCCTAACCACTGAATGAAGTTGTCGCTCCTCATCCTGTCTGACTTCACATTGCTCTGTGCATCTCTGTCAGTCCCTGTCCTGGCACAGTGACCAGGTGTGTGTTTTTGTTGACTTAGTTTTGCTGAACTCCTGCTGGGTGCTGAGCTCTGTCCTGGGCACACGACATCCAAGAACGCGTCAGATGAGGGCCTTGCCCTTTTGTTTTAGCCTGTCCGTCACGATATCCCTGGTACACGGTGTTATCTGGCTCAGACCAGGCATTCAGTGTCTTTGTTGAACAAATGGGTAGGTGAGTGAAGTAGTCCATGGCTGTGGTTACCTGCTCTGTTTGGCCGGCGTTGCAGTGTGGGGAGAGCCTAGAGGAGACAAAAAGCTCTTGTCAGTGACACATGAAACCCTGGTGTGCCTCTCACCAAAATGTTTTTTTGTTTTTCATTTCTGTTTCACTAACTGCTCAGTAGATTCCGAATGAGATGGCAATATAAACAATATCAGTGTTAATTTTTTCCCACTTTTCAGGCTGGAGTAAAAGGGACATTGGGAAGATTAGTTGGAATTTTTGAGGTAAGTCTGTTAAAATCTTTGGTACATTTGGTATTGTATTAATAACACATATATCTTTGTCTTAGTCCATTCAAGATGCTGTAAGAAAATATCATAAACTAGGATGCTTATTAATAATAGAAATTGATTTTTCATCATTCTGGTGCCTAGAAGTGGAAGATGAAGGCACTAGCAGATTCAATGTCTGGCTAAGCACCTGCTTCCTGCTTCATGGACCACTGTTTCTGTCCTTATATGGTGGAAAACAGAAGGTTGCTCTCTAGGTTTCTGTTATAAGGGCACTAATTCCATTCCTGAGGGTCAGCCCCAAAGACCCCTCCTCCTAACCATCACTCTGAGGACATGATTTCACCATATGAATGGGGGGGCATAAATATTAAGTCTATTGTAGTCTTTGTCTCCTCCAAACAGCTAGAATATTATTTGTAAGTATTATTTATCCCATCCCTCTCTCTCTACCTTTTCTCCTGAGATGTGAAAGGGATAGGTAAATGTAGAGAAGACAGAGGGAAAACGGAAGATTAAGCAGCTATAGCAAAAGAGAGAAACAAGGAAATTACTGGGGTAGAGATTGGAGGAGGGGAAGGGAAGAGAAGCAGGAAAAGAAGAGGGTAGTAGGAAGAGAGATAATCACTGACTTGCACCGATGAGGCCCTGCCCTCCACAGTCTCTTCTTTCTGTGCCCAGCTACCTAAATGTACGTGGTGCCTTTTTCTTGAGAGGTAATGACCTTCCTGCTCACAGCATTTATATGAAGTTGCACTTAAGGAAACGGAAGGAGAACAAGAGCAAAGCTTGGCTTTAGAAATCCAATCAAGGAGCTTACCTTCAAATGCATGTGTGGCCTATTTCAAATAGCCCATCTGGTACTAGTTCGTGTTTGACTGTAGGACAGTGGAAAGTAAAAGGAATCCTGTGGACACAACCTCTCTGGACGTAAGTGTGAGAGTGCACTTCGCGTAAGTCCTCTCAGCTCTGTAAGGAGTAACTCCCTCTGTCCTCCTCTCTGCCCTCAGAACCAGGAGAGGAAGCACAGGACGTATGTGTATGTGCTCATTGTCACGGAGGTGCTGGAAGACTGGGAGGACTCGGTTAACATTGGTAAGTCATCCAGAGAGCTCCCCACAGCCGTCCTTGCTGCAGCCCAGGTGGTACTCAGGACCAGAAACAAGCGCCTGATAAGAAGAGACATAATTGCCTGGCTCAGTGGCTCAGTGGTTGAGTATCAACCTATGAACCAGGAGGTCATGGTTCGATTCCTGGTCAGGGCACATGCCTGGGCTGTGGGCTCGATCTCCAGTGTGGGGCATGCAGGAGGCAGACAATTGATGATTTTCTTTTATCATTGATGTTTCTCTCTCTCCCTCTCCCTTCCTCTTTGAAATCAATTTTTAAAAAAATCCTCCTATTATTTATCTTCTTTAAATACATATATAATTAGTGGCCGGTGCATAGATTTGTGCACATTGAAAGGAAATTAATTAGAAGAAATATTTTAATATCACTATTCTCCCTTTCTCTAAAATAGAAGTGTCAAGAGATAAAAAAAAATTAGTAAAATGTATATGAAAATATTGGGGCAATGGTAAAATATGTACGCAGATAATAATTTAATTAAAAAATGTATATGAAAATATTTAAATTGATTAGTAAATAAATAGTAACAACATGATATAACAACAATAAAGATATAAAAAAAACATTATATAAAAACAATAAAAACATAATATAAAAACACTGATAAAAACAATGACTGATAAATTGATTCAACTTATTCTATCTCCCTGTATACCTCATTAAGAGTAAACACTTTCAGCCGAAACTGGTTTGGCTCAATGGATAGAGCGTCGGCTTGGGGACTGAAGGGTCCCAGGTTCGATTCCGGTCAGGGGCATGTATCTTACCTTGGTTGCGGGCATGTCCCCGGTGGGGGGTGTGCAAGAGGCAGCTGATCGATGACTCTCTCATCAATGTTTCTAAATCTCTATCTCTCTCTCTCTGTACAGAATCAATAAAATATATTTAAAAAAAAAAAAGTAAACACTTTCAGAATGCTTGACTAATTTCCTTTGTGATGAAGTATTTACAACTTTAACGTCACATGCTCTTTGAACTCGAGAGAAAGGAACATATAACTGACCATGTCTAAAAACGAGTTCAGGTAGGAATATTCCTACTCTGTCTAGATTTTTTCCTTGTGATTTATCAATAGTCATTCACAAATGCTGGCATCACATCAAACTGTCTTCTAATTAATTTAAATGGGAGGCCGGTATCAGGCAGGGACAGTTGTGCTAATAGTTGGTCTTCGGACATATTCTGTCAATGAAACTGATTTCTTTCAGCTTCAGAATGTCAACAAAAACAACCAAATTCATGTTCGATGACAGATCGAAACACATGTGTGCAATTGGCACCAGCAAGAGCTTTATATGCATCGTGCATGCACTAGTCAATGTTTATTTTTAAATTGCCATTGTACGGTCATATGTACTGGCTGGTCGGATGGACAGACGGTCAGTCACTTAGCTTTTTATATGTATACTGTGTCCCAGTGCACAGATTCGTGCACATTGAAAGGAAATTAATTAGAAGAAATACTTTAATATTGCTATTCACCCTTTCTCAATAATAGAAGTATCAACCAAATTCATGATAGACAATGACAGATTGAAGCACACACGTGCGATTGGCGTCAGCAAAACTTTATATGTATCACGCATGCATGAGTCAACTTAGCCTTTTTTTTAATATATATATATATATATATATATATATAATTTAAATATTTTTTTATTGATAATTACAGAGAGAAAGGGAGAGAGATAGAGAGCTAGAAACATCGATGAGAGAGAAACATCAACCAGCTGCCCCTTGCACACCCCCACTGGGGATGTGTCCACAACCAAGGTACATGCCTTGACTGGAATCGAACCCGGGACCTTTCAGTCCGCAGGCCAACGCCCTATCTACTGAGCCAAACCAGTCCTGGCAACTTAGCCTTTTGTATATATAGAATAAACTTGCTTAATTAGACCTGCTTTCTGATTTAGCTAAATTTTTTCCAGTCCAGTGAAGCACTCCAACTTCTCTTTCAGGTAATTGTCAGCAACACAGCAGTAAATATCAACATGAAGCATATTATTATTATAGATCATTCAGGGAGAACAAAGGGTAAAATATTTAGTAGTGGCAGTGTTTGACTATATTCTGCACAGTGAGAAAACCTGAAGTCATTTTCAAGGTCCGTTATTTCTTCTCTTCAGTTAGATCAAGTTTCTAAGCTTTCTAAATCTCTATTTTCTGGCTAATGAAAAAAAAAAAAAAAAAATAGGATTCCACCGAGTCTTCTATCTACCTACTCCAGGACTTCTGTGAGGATCAGATGAAATGAGGCATGGGAAAACACTTCACAGACATCTGGTTTAAGTGTGAAATGTTTGCACCTGGCTATAAAGCAAATGGAGTTCCTGGGCTGAAGAAACTCCAAGGAGGCTAGTCGCTAGGGAGAGGAAGCCAGGCATTGCTATGTGATGTCATTACCCAGTACCCATACCCACCGTTTCTGGGCTGGGCTGTGGGCTGCATTTTGTGCCAGGGGGGTCTTGGCAGCATTGGCTGCGATATGGTGGGGTGTCACTCTGGGGTGGTGGCAGGGCCTGTGTCCCACTTGGGGGAAGCCAAGTGATGGTTTGTCAGTGCCAGGTCCATGTACCATTTATTTTTAAATGGCCAGTAGGCATCATGGCAGCCCCTGTGTTGAGTGTCTGCCCCAGGGTGGTCAGTGGGCATCATAGCTACTGGTCAAACAGTCGGATACTTAGCAATAGATAGATAGACAGACAGACAGACAGACAGACAGACTTAAGAGAGAGAGATAGATAGATAGATAGATAGGTAGATAGATAGATAGACAGACAGACAGACTTCAGAGAGGAATGGAGAAGGAGGAAAAGAGAGACATCAATAATGAGAGAGAATCATTGATTGGCTGCCTCCTGCATGCTTCTGCTGGGGATCAAGCCTGGCAGCCCAGGTATATACCCTGACTGGGAATCAACCACTGAGCCATGCCAGCTGAGCAATAGGAAGACATCCTATCTAATAAAGAGGGAATATGCTAGTTGACCATCACACTCTCACAAAGGTGGTAGCCTCACAAAGATGACGACCCCACAGCCAATAAGGAGGGAATATGCTAATTGACCATCGTGCCCTCAAAGATGGCAGCACTCACAGCTACAAGATAGTGGCATCCAAGCCTCTCAGCCCCTCCGGGGTGGCAGGTGCACAGTATGGCCGGGCCGCCCCGCCCCAATCAGGTCCAGCCACTTCGTGTGTCTGCCTCCAGAGTCTCCTCAGCCCCCTGGCCGCCCAGGGCCACCTGAGGCTTGCACTGCGGGCAGTGGCAGCAGCAGAGGTGTGATGGGGGCATCGCCTGCACCTGATCACTGGGTCACCTCCCACCTCTGAGGGCTCCTGGTCTGTGTGAGAGGGGGCAGGCCAGGCTAAGGGACCCACCCCCCACCCCCATGCATGAATTTTCATGCAACATGCCTCTAATATTTAATGAAACAAGCATATCTTATTTTTAACTTGTGAAAGCACAGTAAAACCTTAATAAAACAGACTAATTGGGGCAAGGTGGTGTCTGTTAAAGCCAAAAATCTGTTATATAATAAAGTAGGTTTTCCAAAGGCATATGTTAAAAAATTGGCAAATAAGTTAGCTTACGTGTTTTTACTTATGTAAACACATTTGTGTAATTAAAATTAAGTATTATAAAAAGTTTAATTTTACAGAAGTTTTCTATGTGTATTACAGTAATTTGACATTTATACTGAATAGGCTCAGTAAACGGGTCCATTCACCAGTCCCCTGGAGTAGATGAGTTCACATGGCTGGGGTGTGGCCTAGTGCAAGTCAGACATTGGCCAGCAGGACTTAAAACTGCTGCAGAACACGGGAAGGTGTGGCTCAGCGATTAGAGCATCGTCCTGTGTTCCAAAGGGTCTCAGGTTCGATTCCTGGTCAAGAGCACATACCTGGGTTGCAGGCTCAATCCCAAGACCCAGTCAGGCTTCTTGTAGGAGGCAGTCAATTAATGAATTTCTTTCACATGGATATTTTTCTCTCCCTCCCTCCCTCCCTCCCACTCTCTCTGAAAATCAATGGGAAAAATATCCTCGGGCCCTGGCTGGTGTGTTCAGTGGTTAGAGCATCAACCTGTGCACCAAAGGGTCTAGGGTTTGATACCAGTCAATGGCGTGTACCTCAGTTGCAGGGTGCATGCAAGAGGCAGCCAATTGATGTAACCCTCTCATGTCAGTGTTTTATCTCTTTCCCCCTCCTCCCTCCCTTCCATCTCTCTCAATAAATGGAAAATATATCTTCAGGTGAGGATTAACAGCAATAACAAAAACTGCTACAGAAAGGCATGCCACATAACAGAACCAGTTACCTTGAGATGCAGTGTGATCAGTTCAGTTTGATTATGCGCTAATCATTCACCAAACACTGTTAATCAGCAGTGACTCTTGGATGTAGATATGTAGCAGACTATAGTTGTAGGTATATAATATTTTTTTAAATATATTTTATTGATTTTGTACAGAGAGGAAGGGAGAGAGAGAGAGAGTTAGAAACATCGATGAGAGAGAGCCATTGATCAGCTACCTCTTGCACACCCCCTACTGGGGATATGCCCGCAACCAAGGTACATGTCCTTGACCGGAATTGAACCCGGGACCCTTCAGTCCCCAAGCCGATGCTCTATCCACTGAGCCAAACCAGTTTCGGCATAGGTATATAATATTTATGTTGGCAAATTACTACAGTGTGGTGGTGGTGTTGTTTTCTAAATATGGCCTATTCGTTAAAATTTGTTAAAAATAATACGAAAAATAACCTGTCAATTTAATTATAAGCAAATCTTCGTTAAAAACATTTTAAAATTAACAGGATGTTAATTTTAACATTTGACATACGGACCAGAAATTCTGTCCATTAAATCCCAGTCTGTTAAATCGAGGTCTCCAAAATGGAGGGTTTGCTGTGTTTTGAAATGTATAAAAGGAAGCTGAAGTTGGGTGCGTGGTCAACAAATAGAAACATGGCCCATACAAATAGGAAATGTTACTAAAATCAGATTGGGTCCTGCTCCACAGTGCCAGGTCCACTGCTGGCCACAGCACCCCCAGGAGAGCGGGACCTGTGCTGCTCATTCTTGTCGGAGAGAACTGTTGGCCTGGTGTGTGAGTTTCTCTCCGGAGCCATCGGCAGATGCAGAGTAGTGGAAGTAGTTTCCAGTTATATCCATACTAGAGGCCGATGCACAAAATTCTGCAAAAGGAGGCCTTCCTTCCCCCGGCTGCTTGCTCTGACTTCCCCCTGGCACCGGGGAACCGGGCTTCCCTCACAGCCCCGGCTTCTTCCAGATGGACGTCCAGTTAATTAGCATATTACACTTTTATTGTTATAGAAGCCTGTTACACTTTTATTAGATTAGCTCTCTCCTAAAGAGCTGTTTGCTTTGATCTCTGAGATCACTGTTGTATTCATATCTTTGAACTAAAAATTGAGATGATTTAGTGGTTGGGTCGTGGTTTAATCTTTTCCCTCTGCACACATGTATATTCTAGAAAAGTAATATTGATTTAATTTCTGTTTTAAGTTGGCAAGCAGACAAAACACTTGCCAAAACCTCTCCCTTTATTGTTAGTGTGTGCTTGGCTGCCAGGCCCCTCACACTGCTCATGTGGGCATTTCAGAGCCTTTTAGCTTTCCATGGCTTTGTGTCTGGTAGGGGTGCAATATGCTTAAGTAAAGGAATTCAATTGGGGTTTAATTAAAAATAGACTCCTGGACAGCTGGGGTTGGGCTGAGAGGGAGACAGAGGTAGTGTGGTGTGGCCTGTCCGCAGAGTCTCTGTCTGGCAGGAGTCACACTGTGACAGGAATTTTCAAGGTACCATTGCACTATTAATACCCGAAAAGCCTTTCACCTGTGCTCCACCCCTGAGAATTGACCCTGATGAAGTCATCTCAACTATGGTGAATACGCCCAGTTGGCATGGGTCAGGGTTCAATTCTTGGTCAGGGCATATGCCCAGGTTTTGGGCTCGATCCCCAGTGTGGAGCATGCAGGGGGTGATTCTCATTATTGATGTTTCTATCTACCCTCCTCCCCCTTCCTCTCTGAAATAAAAAATATATTTAAAAAAATTAAAAATGGGGATTAAGTTTATGAGCCTTCATTTTAAAAAAAAATCTTTATTGTTGAGAGTATTACAGATGTCACCTTTTTTTCCTCCCATTGGCCCCTTCCACCCAGTCCCTGCCCTACACCAGGCCTTCACCACCCTATTATCTGTGCCCATAGGTAATGTAAATATGCTATAAGATCTTTGGTTAGCCTGGCCAGCGTGGCTCAGTGGTTGAGTGTCAACATATGAACCCGAGGTCACAGTTCGATTCCGTCAGGGCACATGCCTGTGTTACAGGCTCCATTTCCAGTAGGGGATGTACAGGAGGCAGCCAATCAGTGATTCTCTTTCATCACTGATGTTTCTGTCTGTCTCTCCCTCTCCCTTCCTCTCTGATATATATATATAAAGACCTTTTGGTTAATCTATTCACACACACACACCCTCACCCCTTCTTTCTGAGATTCATCAGTCTGTTCCATGTTTCCATGCCTGATTCTGTTTTATTCATCAGTTTATTTTGTTCATTACATTGCTTATTCATTTATTTGATTTTTAGGTTGAATTGTTGATATACTAGTGTGTGTGTGTGTGTGTGTTGCCATTTTATTGTTCATTTTTTATCTTTCTCTTCTTCTTCCTCCTCCCTTTTTCCTCTTCCCTTCTTTTCTCCTCCCTTTTTCCTCTTTCTTTCCTTTTTCCTTCCTTCATTCCTTCCTTCCTTCCTTCCTTCCTTCCTTCCTTCCTTCCTTCCTTCCTATTTTTATTCTTATTCTTATTCTTATTCTTATTCTTAATTCTTATTCTGTGAAACTCTTTATCTGACCTTCAATTCTATAATAAATGATAGCTTTGCTGGGTAGAATAATCTTGGTTGTAGGTTCTTGCTATTTATTACTTTGAATATTTCTTGCCACTCCCTTCTGGCCTGCAAAGTTTCTGTTGAGAAATCAGCTGACAGTCATATGGGCACTCCCTTGTAGGTTACTTTTTCTCTTGCTGCTTTTAATATTCTCTCTTTGTCTTTAACCCTTGGCATTTTATTTATTTTTAATATTTTTTAATTTTCATTTTTTTATTGCATTTTTCTTTTCTTTTTTTTAAATATATATATTTTTTATTTTTTACAGAGAGGAAGAGAGAGGGATAGACAGTTAGAAATATCGATGAGAGAGAATCATCGATTAGCTGCCTCTTGCACACCCCCCTACTGGGGATGTGCCCGCAACTAAGGTACATGCTCTTGACCAGAATCGAACCTGGAACCTTTCAGTCCACAGACCAATCCTCTATCCACTGAGCCAAACTGGTTCGGCAACCCTTGACATTTTAATTATGATGTGTCTTGGTGTGGTCCTCTTTGGATTCCTCTTGTATGGGGTTCTGTGTACTTCCTGTACTTGTAAGTCTATTTCTTTCACCAGGTAGGGAAAGTTTTCTGTCATTATTTCTTCAAATAGGTTTTCAATTTCTTGGTCTCACTCCCATAGTTCGAATGTTGGTACCCTTAAAGTTATCCCAGAGGCTCCTTACACTATCTTCTTATTTTTGTATTCTTTTTTCTTTTTACTCTTCTGATTGGGTCTTTTTTGCCTCCTCATATTCCAAATCATTGATTTGATTCTTTGAATCCTCTACTGTTGAATCCCTGTAAATTATTCTTTATTTCAGTTAGTGTGTGCTTAATTTCTGACTGTTCCTTTTTCATGTCTTTGACATTCTCACTAAGATCCTTAAAAGTCTCCATAAGTCCCTTGGCACTTTTATTAATTCCTTTACAGCTCTCATTAAGATCCTTGAAAAACTTTATAAGCGTTGTTTTGTACTCTGTATCCAGTAGTTTGCTTGCTTCCATTTCTTTCAGTTGTGACATATTTCTTTGTCTCTGCATTTTGGCTGCCTCCCTGTGTTTGTTCCTATATATTAGGTAGAACTGTTATGTCTCCTGGAATGGTGTCTTGTAGGGCCACTGACCCTGCCTCACTAGTCACCTGAGCTGGGCATTCTATGTGTGCCCCTGTGTGAGCTGTGTGCACAATCTTATTGTAGTTGAGCCTTGATTGCTGTTGGCTTCACTGGGAGGAATCTACCTCCAAGCCAGTTAGCTGTGAGGACCAGCTGTGACTACATTGGAAGAGCTGCTGTGCAGGAGAAACCCCTGTGGAGTAAGAATTGCTTCAGGGGGGCTTTGGTGCTCACTGAGTCTGCCCCTTGAGTGTGTCACTTGTGGATGTGTAGAGTGGTAATCTGGAATGGTCTGAAGTTGTTCACTGGGTGCACTGGCTCTGGGGCCTCAGAGGTACAGACTCAACTACTGCCTGGAGCCACCTGGCAAGAGCTACAGATGATGCAGATGGCTGCTACTTATATTGGGCTAGGAAGCAGCAGGAGAGGCCCAGATGTGAAGCAAGGCATGCTGGTGCTAGAGCCAGGTCTCAGGCCTTTTATTGATAGTTTTGACACCACCTGCTGCTTGTTTGAAATATTTTAGCAAAGTCTGAAGCTTGAGCCAGGACAAGCCATTGATATGGTAAAGCAGCTGCATACAGTTTTGGTGGGGCTGCAAATTGGATGGGACGGGGTCTCAAGGATTCACCAGGGCTGAGTGAATAGTGTGGGCCAAGCTGATAGAAACTCAGATATGTCTGCCAGTCAGCTCTGTTGTGGGGGGAGGTCCCAGCACAAAAACAATGACCCCTGCAAGTACCCCTATCTGAGAGAAAGTCACCCCCAAGTTCCTGCCCCAATGCCAGATAGTCCAGTTCCTCCTGGATGTCCCTGGATTCCCCAAAAGTAGCCACCTGGCACTGGAGCTCAGAGGAAGTGGGATGGTGTACTAGTAAGTACTACGGCCCTTTAAGGGGAACCCCTGGGACTCCAGCACTTTACATATCACTCAGCCACAATCCCCACTGGTTTTTACAGTCCAAAGTTACGGGGACTTCTCTTCTCAGCTCTGGGACCCTGGGCTAGGGTTCTGGTGTGGGGCTGGGACCCCTTGCTTCCCATGGGAGGCCTTGAAGATATCCCTTCAGATTAATAAAATGCCACACATGGGTGCTGGACCAGTCTGTTTCATACCTCCATCCCTCCTGCCAGTTTCAATGTGCTTTCTTTTTTTACTTTTTAAAAAATATATTTTAATTGGTTTTAGAGAGGAAGGAAGAGAGAGAGAGAGAGAGAGAGAGAAACATCAATGATGAGAGGGAATCATTGATCAGCTGCCTCCTGCACAGCCCCTACTGGGGGTCAAGCCAGAAACTCAGGCATGTGCCCTTGGCCAGAATCGAACCTGGGATCCTTCATTCCGCAGGCTGACACTCTATCCACTGATCCAAACCAGCTAGGGCATGTGCTTTCTTCTTTACTTCTCTTCGGACTTCGATTCAGCCAGATTTCAGGTGGTTCTGAATAGTGATTGTTCTGTATTTCAGTTGTAATTTTTCTGTGGTTGTGGGAGGCAGCAAGTATAGGCCACTATCTTAGTTCCTAACCCAAGATCTTATATCTATGAGCCTTCCTGCAGATGAGCCTTTTTCAGATGAAAAATTGGTCCTACCTGTACAACTCAGTGAATGAGAAATGGTGTAAGATACATTCATCTGAAGGAATGTTAGATGTTAAACACATACTTAAAAGAACTATTACTATAGCAGAGTGCTTAAAAATAGTGCTGGTGAATGCAAAAAGCAGGGTATAGAATTATATATTACACTAGTTAGAGCTACACTGAAATAGTAACTTGAAATGAAAACTAAACGAGATACTGGTTTTCACCAAAAGAATTGGCAGTGACAAGCAAAAGGAAACAGTGCTGGCTGGGTATGTGAGACCAGTACACCACACATAGCAGGATTGGGGGCTGCGGGAGCCATCTTGGCAAGCATTTTGGCACTATCTATCATGAGCCCTTTAGAGCGAAATGTTTTTGTTTTTTTTAATATATATAAATATATATATATATATATATATATATATATATATATATATATATATATATATATATATATTAGAGAGGGAGAGAGAGTTAGAAACATCGATGAGAGAGAAACATTGATCAGCTGTCTCCTGTACACCCTCCACTGGGGATGTGCCCACAACCAAGGTACATGCTCTTGACCGGAATCAAACCTGGGACCCTTCAGTCTGCAAGCCGACCCTCTGTCCACTAAGCCAAACCAGTTAGGGCATGTTTTATTCTTATAATCTCAATTTTAAGGATCTCCTGAGAAGTTAAAAAGAGAAAAACAGATAAAAGACTTTTTTCTAATTATAGTATTATTTAAAATCACAGTATATTGATGTTCAGTGATAGGGAAATGGTTATAATAAACTGCCATTAAAAGTGTTTTTTAAATTTATTTTTTGGTGTTAATCTTCAGCTGAGGACATTTTTTCCATTGATTTTTAGAGAAAATGGAAAGGAGGGAGGGATAAGAGAGAGAATTCGATGTCAGAGAGACATATTGATTGGTTGCCTCCAGCATTCACCCAACCTAGGGCCAGACATTAAACCTGGAACCCAGACAGGTCTCCTTGACGTGTAATTGACTCCGTGACTGGTGTTTGGTCCAATGCTCTAACCACTGAACACACCAGCCAGAGCAAATGCTTTTTTGTTTTTTGTTTTATTTTATAATGTGGAAGAATGCTCAAGAGGCAGTATAAAGTAAAAAAACAAAACGACAAAAACACTATAACAATGATAGTAATAATGAAAGGGAACTCTTAATAGCATGTATTATGTGCCAGGTATTATTCAATTACTTTACTTTTTTAAAAATATATATATATTTTATTGATTTTTAACAGAGAGAAAGGGAGAGAGATAGTTAGAAATGTCGATGAGAGAGAAACATCGACCAGCTGCCTCTTGCACACCCCCTACCAGGGATATGCCCGCAACCAAGGTACATGCCCCTGACCAGAATCGAACCTGGGACCTTTCAGTCCACAGACCGACGCTCTATCCACTGAGCCAAACCGGTTTCGGCCAATTACTTTACATTTTAATCCTCACAACAGACTGTGAGATAGGTACTCTCTATTATCTCTCCATTGTAGATGAGGAAAACGGGGCACAGGAATGTTCAGTAGCATGCCCAAAGCCTCACAGCTCATTAGAGGGCGGTGATGTGATTGGAGTCCAGCGTATTAGCGGCAGCACCCGTGTTCCCAACCCCAACTTTGACTCTGAGAGCCTCTCAAGATTTGGAGCACCTTAAAGCACGATCCAGTTAGTCGTTCATATACAGTATCTTTTTCAAATAGGAGGAAAGGAAGAGCAAATGCATTAAGGCACATGTGTCAAACACAAGGCCCGCGGGCCAAATCCGTCCCGCCAGGCCTTGCAATGTGGCCCGCACCGCGCTGTCATCACTGCACTCCGCTGCGTTTCCATCACAATGACAGTTTATGACTGTTCAGTAAACCATTCGGCCCGCGATTTAGGCTGGATTTTAGATTTTGGCCCCTTCTCTGATTGAGTTCGACACCCCTACATTAAGGTATTGAGAAGGGTAATTTTTGGTTTAGAAGATCATGGGAAATTACATTATACTTTTCTCCATTTTCCCAATGTTAAGCAATGATCTTTTAATGTAAGAGAGAAAAAAAATAAAGGATTTTAAAACGTGTCAAAAGGACAAATAGGAGATGGATTGACTCCATGAAAGAAGCCATAGGCCTGAGTGTGCCTGGACCGGACAGTATGGATAGACAGAGCCAAGTCAGTGGTATGTAATGCATATTTTAAAAGAGAAAATAGTCCTGGTCAGTGTGCTTAGTGGTTAGAGCATCGGTGTAACCAGTCAACGTTTCTCACATTGATGTCTCTCTCTTTTCCCCCTTCCTCCCTCCCTCCTCCTCTCTCTCTAAAAAGAAATCAATGGAAAAAATTTTCTCCAGAGAGGATTAATAAAAGAATAATTTTTAAAAATAGACTGAAAAGTTGATAGTGATTGTGATAAATTTTTCTTTTTCTAAAAGTGGTATTTTCTGTTATATAGATATTAGAGGCCTGGTGCACGAATTTAATCATGGTGGGATTTCTCGGCCTGGCTGGTGATCGGGGCTGATCGGGGCTGGCCGGCAGGGGGAGGGGCTGCGGGAAGTTGGCCAGCCCTGGGAGGTTGGCTGTGGGAGCACACTGACCACCAGGAGGCAGCTCCTGCATTGAGCATCTCTCCCTGGTGGTCGGTGCGTGTCATAGCAACCAGTCAACCGGTTGTTCGGTCGCTTAGGCTTTTATATGTATAGATGTTACCCATATAAAATTTAAAAAATAAATACCTGATTACAAGCCAACCATCCTGGTGATTCTGCAAGTTTAACGCTCAGGCTGATTTTTGCAGGAGAGGAGGCTGCTGGCTGGGCTTCAGGCTCTTACCGGCAAGCTGAGGAGGCCCATGGGAACAGGAGGAAACGCTGGCCTTGATTCTCTGGTGGGCGGTGCCATGTGGTTACTGTTAGCTCTTCAGTTTTCAGATTTCTTACCTATTTTCTGCATGAGCATTTGTACAGTATTTTCTTTTTGTTGTTGTTAATCCTCACCTGAGGATATTTTTCCATTGACTTTTAGAGTGGAAGGGAGAGACAGAGACAGAGAGAGAGAGAGAGACATACCTGTGAGAAAGACACATTGATTGGTTGCCTCCCGCATGTGCCCCGACCAGGGCCAGGATCTAGCCTGCATCGAGGTATGTGCCCAAGGCTGGGATCGAGCCGGGAACCCGAGTCCGTGGGCTGATGCTCTGCACTGAGCCAGACCGGCCATGGCTGTACAGGGTTTAAGCATATGAAGTGTGCTCGCATCGCTCTATAAGAAAGTGTGTTTATAAAACATGTTTTAAAATGTCGACAAACATTGCTCTTATTTCCTTCTGCATTTTCTCAGAAGTTGGAAGGTTAGAGAGCTTTCGTGCTTCCCGGGGTCCTGATGGCTTCTGTTGCCTCCGCAGGAAGGAAGCGGGCGTGGTTTAAGGTGGAAGAGGCCGTCCAGGTGCTGCAGCACCACAAGCCTGTGCAGGCCTCGTACTTTGAGACGTTGCGGCAAGGCTACTCCGCCAACAACGGCACCCCGGTCATGGCCACCACGTACGCCGTGTCTTCTCCGCAGAACTTCACGGGCATCAGATGACTGAAGACCTGGAAGGGGGTGGAAATTGGAAACCAGACTGAAGTGCAGACCTTCCCTGTCCCCTTGCTCTCCTCCCCCTCCTCACAGCCTCCTCTCGGGCATGGCAGCAGAGAAAGGGCTGGTGATAACGTTGCTGTTTGGTGTTCCGTGATGGGGCTTTTCTTAGTTGGGTGGGGTAATTGTAAGCCCTTTTGTGCATGATCTGCCCTCCCTGTTCACATCCTACATTCTCAGAGGCACAGCCATCCTCTGCCTCGACTCTATAGGGTTCCATCTGCCACATCTTGGCCCTGGCCGGCTCTCTTATTCGATTTTTAATTTTTTTATTTTATTAAAAGATACCAATACGAGATGAAATCTTTCAAGAATGTGCTCTGTAATGTGCTCTTCTGCCCAGTGGTCGGTCCCTTTCACTGCAGGTGCATTTACCTACACATTACATCCTGGGCACGTAATCTGTAAATAAGTGACTTAGAAGAGGAATTTAACTCTTTAAAATTTTCAAGGTTTTGTTTTGTTTCATTTTGGGCGTTCTGACACAGAGCCTCACAGTTTGTTTTCTTTTGATGTTAGTGACTAGACCAGCTCCCTGCCTGCCTCCTCCAGTCAGGACTGCGGTTAGCGGCCGGGCACAGCCAGTGCCTGGCCTTTCTCCTCCAGCTGTGCCCGGCCCAGGGAGAACCGGGAAGAAGCCTGTTCCTTGTCAGAACCAAGCCAGGAGCGATAGGAGTGATAGAGATGGAATTCCTCCCTGCGGGCTGACAGTAGGGATTTGAACTGGGTTCCTGGAATTACTTTCTAAAAGCGGGCGTGGCGCACTGCTCCTGTCCTGCTGGAGTTTTTCCGTGATGCGGCTTCTCACCACAGCAGCCTCTCCTGTGCGTCCGCCGGCCAGCCCTCAGCCGTGCAGCCCTTCCCCGCCCAGGTGACCGTGCTGCGTCCGGAAACGCGCAGGAGGGCGGTCCGGGCGTCCGCCTGTCTGAGGGTCCAGCACTGGCCAGTGACCATGCTCATCTCAGAAGTACTGACGTGTCCCGGGAGGAAAAGCCGTGTGTGGCAGAGTGTGTAACACTGGCTCCCTGCACGCTGTCCGGTCAGGTTCTGACAGGTCTGCTGGCTGCACTTGTGTTGTCTCGTTGAGAAGTCAGGGTCTTAAAATCCAGTCGGGGCGGGAGGGGGAGGGGGAGGGGCACTGATCAGCCCTGGCTTGGGGAAGGAGCTAGTTGCTATACCCTCAGTGGCATCTCCTTTGTCAGAACATAGCCAAGATGTGAAATTAGAATCGTAGTTCTCTTTATTTAAGAATTCTAATAAATACTCAAACTTTGCAAAGCTTTTGCTCTTCCCTCCCATTAGAAGAATCTAATGTATCTGTTTGGCCTGTGTCATATAGTTTTCAGCATTGGGGGTGTCAGCTGGTGAATTTAAATTTTGCTATACCTCGGTTTGCATCTTTTCTCTGAGTCCATATATATATATAATTTTTTTTTTTTTTTTTTACAGAGAGGAAGGGAGAGGGAGAGAGAGTTAGAAACAGCAATGAGCGAGAAACATCGATCAGGTGCCTCTTGCACACCCCCTACTGGAGATGTGCCCACAACCAAGGTACATGCCCTTGACCTGAATTGAACCTGGGACCCCTGGGTCCGCAGGCTGACTATCCACTGAGCCAAACCGGTCAGGGCTTCTCTCCGAGTCTTAAACACAGACCCGTCAGCAGTGCCGGCAGGTTCCTTCGTATCATCCCCTCTCGGAAAGGAATTCTATCCCCAAGGGAAGGTCCCAGCGGATAGCAGCATGGAATGCGTCTAACGCCACTCACTGGTCTCCACCTACCTGAAGACGGACACACTGTGCCTGACGGCGCTGAAGGCCCCGGAGACGCCTGCAGGGACAGGAAATGAGCTCAGCTAAGCGCTCCGTGGAACCCAGACGCACCTCTACCCATGCTTCCCTCGGGGCGGTGGACTGCAGGTGCTTTTGCAGAACAGCCGGGACCTGGGGAGGGAACCGCACGTACAGGAATGTGGGTCCGTGGTCCGAGGAGCCTCTGGGCGGAGACCAGCACTGCACTGCGAAGGCAGCGGATGGTTGGTGGTGTCTTTGGGGCAGAAAGCGGCCTGGGCCAAGGACTACTGTTCAGCGACGTGAGCGGGTGGTGCTGTGGGGCGGGCGGCGAGTAGGCCTGACTCCCGGCCTCTGCGGAGGGGTCACTCAGAGTGTGCAGCAGTCTGTAAACGTGCTCCTACACAGGCCAGTTCCTTCTGCCGTGCTGTTAGGGCAGCCATGGGAGCGCGCTCAGACCTGCTCAGAAGAAAAAGTGCCAGGAAGGACCTTCCTCCTCGCTCTCCTCCCGGACGGTGGTCATGGCCGCCCCTGCCCTGGGGCGTGCGGTGCAGGCGCCGGGCCTGCCTCTCCGGTGCCCATTGTGCTGAGCGCCAGCACTGCGTCCGCCTCCGCCTGATCCCGTTTTAAGCAGCTTAGCCTGAGCCACGGGTTTTTAGTTTACAGAAAGGATTTCATAACAATGTGATTTTTGCCACAACTGTAATTTTAATATTCTGAAGTCTCTGTGAGCCTGTTGTAGTTGAGAGCGGGTTTAGGATTAGAAGAAATACCTTCACAGCCGGGTGCAGTTCTCTTTAAGAGAAGTAAGGGTAGCTGTCATTGATGAGACAGCCTCATCCTGGTCCGTCTGCATTTCAGAGAATAATCCATTTTCCAGAAACGGTGGAGACGGCAGTTCCGGAGCGAGGACACGGCTTAATAGTGGTGAGCAGTGTGAACACTCTTGGCGTTCTCCCTCTTGAAGATGAGGAGGTGGGAACTGAGGTGTGAGTTCACACTGCCTGGTCCGGTCACGTCCGTGGGCCCTCTGGGTGGCACCTCTCCCTGCTGCAGAGGCTCCGGGCTATGCCGCTCCGTGTTGGCGGCGGAGCCTGCTGCACCGGCACCGCCCCGCTCGGAGCGGAGGGCGCGGCAGCCCAGAGCGCTGAGCTCCGTGGCGCCCGAGATGCCGCTGAAACGGGCAGGGAGGCCGTGGGGGGATGGTAAGGGAAGCACTGACTGCAGCCTGCGGAGGAGGCCGCTAATCTACAGTAACAATCTGTCCTCGGAGCCCTTAAACATTAATGAAGAAGGGAAACCCCCCGGGCTGGTGCGGACCGGCTCCCGCGCGGAGGGAGGCCCGGTGTGGCGCCCGCAGCGGGAAGTTCGTTCTCTGAGTGAAAGGCTGCCGCTCCGCGCCTCCCAGCGTTCCGTGGCCATCAGCCAGCTGAGCTTGTCTCCGAGCGACCGCCGGGCAGGGGCTGGCAGGTACTCCGAACCCAGCGTGCGGGACTGTGGAGAGGAAATGAGATTGCTGTCTGTCCCTCCGGCAGTCTGTTGTGTATTCAATTGCTCTAGGTTTCCTTCGGTTTACATTTCATTCTTAACCCCAAAGGGGCCACCAAACACCCAGTGAGGCACTTAGAACCTGGAGATGGGCTTTTAAAGGCACAGTCATGGCAGTGCCGTTCCCCAGCTCATCAGCCGCATGCCAGCCAGCTCAGAGTGGAGGTTTTGTTAATCGCCGGACTGAAGAGCATAAATACTGGTTCTGGAACGATGACATACTGAATGGCTTACCATCTGTGGGTGTACCTGTGAGGGAACATCTGACAGTCCCGTACAACCACTCTGGGCTTGAGGTCCACTTAGGTCAAAATCTTCAGTCTTTGTAATTCCTTAGGAAACACAAGATGCCTCAACCTGGCCTCCCTCTGCCGTCCGGCAGGAAGCCGGGTGCTCAGGGCACAGCTGCATGAGGGGCCCGGGGCCAGGGCATGGTGTTGCGTTTAGCAGTTAGGCAGTTGGGGTAGTAACTGTGCTAAAAGAAACACAGTATGTGGTGCATGTTGTACATGTCAGGTCTGTGCTTATTGTTTCGTGGTCTGAAAACTTTCAAACTGGTTTATAATCAAAAGGTTGGTGGTTACAGTAAGTAAAATGTCAGTCGGTACATCTAAGTAAAGAAAGAGCTGCCTGTTGGTCATGTAAGAGCATTGGAGGGTGAGGGGAGCTGTTATAAAGTAAAGCGAGTGTCGGGGGCGACCCCAGTGTTACTCCTCAGAGAGCTTAGTCGCATCTTCATACTTGCCCCGCCTTTATTTCAAGGACTTTGTCTTCCGTCCGTCCAGTGAACGTGGTAGGGGTAAGCTCTGTTTGCTCAGCTGCAGGGTGTGGTCTCCAAACAGCGGAAGGTCTATTTAAGGTGACTCCTCACTAGGGTCACCACTCCATCATCCACCCTCAGCGCCAGAAAGGCTGAAATCCCTGGCACATTCCAGTTCTAGAACCGACGAGGCCGCACGCTCCCGAACCCTGTGGCTAGTGCATCGTCTCCCTGCGGTCAAACTCCACAGGTGTTCCCGGACCCCCCACGGGCCCAGGATGTACGGAGTTCAACTTTCCAAAGGACAGGAGTCTCGGCCGCTTCCCTGTGGTGCTCATCCATGCAACAGGCTCAATGGCCAAATATGGTCAGGTCTATAGAACAGATGTAGGGGCTCCGTCTAGACTGTTCTGGTCCCACCAGAACTCCGCCGCTGTCCCCCGGCCTTCCCGTCATCAGGTCTCCGCGCTCGCACTGCTCACACTGCACCAGCTCAGGCAGGGAGCTCCGGATGCCTGCAGAGGCGGGGAGTGGACCGGGGAGCGGCTGAGCACTCGCGTTGGGGAGATTGGCAGAAATGAGCTCACAGAGCTGGGAATCCAAGGAGCGGCGCTGAACGGCGAGGTCCGTTCACCCTGGGCCTGGTGCTGCATGATGAGGTCTGCACCCCGACCCAGACGCCTCCAGGGCCGACGCTCCGCCATGGGGATATGGCCTCGTTTTCTGTTTCCTTTGGTTCCGAACAGCCTTGCTTGGTGTTGCATGGAAACAGGTTTTCCTCCCCGCGCGCCTGTGCCGCCTGCCCACCCGCCCCTTCCCTGTCCTCACAGCGCCCTGAGGCGGCGGTGCCCACAGCAGCCAAGGGGAGGGGGCTGCGGGCAAAGACAAGAAGGCAGCGGAGCTTTCCTGTTTCCCTTTCTCAAACGGTTCCTGGGGCGCCTCATACCTCTCTCCACAGTGGGCTTAGGCTGTGGAGGTGGAAAAGAAGGGGAGCAGGGAGCAGCCCCAGGTCTGGGTTCGAGACGTGCACAGCAGAGGCAATACCTACGCCCCCTGTAACAGCAGCAGCCACATGTAACCATTCCTTCTCAAGCGTCTGCTTATGTGGTGCCAGCAAGAGGGCACACAAACCCTCCCCGCAGTCCAGACAGCTTTGGTGGTGCCCTGAAGCTCCACCCCACATCCCCCTCCTCTCTGTACAAATGCTAAGCCTGTGAGCGTGCTGTTCCTTTCTCTGTAATCACTTTTCTTCTCCATTGGAGCTGTGGGGAGGGAAGGCATTGGAATCGTAGATTGTAATCTTGTGCCAACCAATAAAAACCAGTATTTCCTGCACATCTGTGTGCGTGTCCGTCTCTTCCTTCTAGAGGTTTCCTGAGTCCTTCCCATCCTTCTCTGCTGGGTTTGGGGGAGTTGTCAGAGCTCATCTCTCCCATGGAAGGTATGCTGTCCAGGGAGTCCAGGTGAGGGCTGGATCGGAGACCCGGGGCAGACTGGCAGTGCCCGTGCGGCAGGGCAGGCATGGGCCACATCCCGGATACCTGGGGAGCGTGCGGGGAGTGGCCCCTGTGTGGAATCAGGAGGTGGTCAGGGGGGCCCTAGGGGTGGGGCGGTGTTTGCCAACATGCGGTAGTAGGCCTCCAGGCAGAGGACGGCCGGGGCCGTCGGTGGGACAGCAGCAGTAAGTGCGCTGGGGCCTCAAGGACAGTGAGCATCAAGCTGCAATGAGGACTGAAGCGCAAGGAGGCCAAATTACAGAGACCACAAGAGTCTGGCTCCGTACAGGTGACGCCTTTTTAAAAATGTATTTATTTTTTTAATCCTCACCTGAGGATATTTTTCAATTGATTTTAGAGAGTGGAAGAGAGTAAAAGACAGAAACGTTGATGTGAGAGAAACACATCAATTGGTTGCCTCCTGCATGCGCCCTGACCAGAACCTGGCCGAGGAGGAGCCTGCAACTAAGGTATGTGCCCTTGACCCAAATGGAACCCGGGGCCCTTTGGTCTGCAGGATGACGCTCTACCCACCGAGCCAAACCAGCTAGGGCTAACCTGTATTGATTGATTTTAGAAAGAGAAACTTGTTTATGCACTCACTGGTTGGTTCTTGTGTGCCCTGAACGGGGACCAAACCTGCATATGGGGATGACACACTAACCAGCTGAGCTGCCGC